AAAAAAAAAAAAAAAAAAAAAAAAAAAAAAGTTAATGAAAATAAAAATTGATTTCCTTAAAATGTTCAAGAAATTCTCAAATATTATAACCATAACTTTTAGTTGGGCTCAGAGAACTTTAGTTAAACATTTTAATCAATTCTTTAAGAATAGATTATTTTTCTGCTCAATAACCACAGATTTTACTTAGTTAACATATTTCCCCCAACTTTGGGAAAGTTGTTTGTATTGAGTTTTGTAAGAATTGCAGCCCTTTGGAAAGCAAATGAATGCAACAAAAGGATTGAGGAAAAAAAAAATCCTCTGAATGTATGTTTGAAAAACTCATGTGCCAATTAAATCATAGATACACAGACATTTTTCAAAAACAATTGCTTGAACCATTTCACATCTTTTTTAGAATACTTGTAGGCATTTTCCTTTATTACCTATTTTTCTTAGATAAAAGTTGAGTACTATATGGTTTTTTACCCTTTATAAAACCTTATCAATATACTTTTACTCCTACTAATAACATTAAAAATCAGTAAGTTATTTTTTTGTGATTAGTAACTGCACTAGAGATCAAACACACTGAGCTACATCCCCAACCCTTTTAAAAACGCATTTCATTTTGAGATAGGTTATCACTAAATTGCCCAGGCTAGGCTCAAACTTGTGAACCTCCTGCCTCAGCCTCTCAAAGTGCTGGTATTACAACCATGGATGGGCCACCATACCTGGCTAAAGATAAACTATCAAAGGTAGAATGAAACTAGACAACAAAGTCAGAATATATAAAGCTGTGAAAGTACAGAAGAAATAAAACTGAAATTTGGGTGGTTTTAAAGTGTATAAACTTTTCTTACCCACTCTATTTTGAATTATAACCACAAGGGAAATATCACCATTTTCTGGAAAGGAGAAAATGGTAAACAAGCCAGTTTAGCAAAACTCAGCTTATTTATAGGCAAAAAACCATTTTAAGAACTTTTCTATCATCCCTGATAATTTCAATTTTTAGACAACCTTAGGGGATTATGCATTTTTAAAGTTCACTGTAAGAACTGAATAATACATAGTGGCGAGTCAGAAAAGAGAACATAAGGAATAAGGAAAGCAAGTTCTAAAAGCTTTTGTTCCAGGTCCTAGAATTAGAATATATAATTAAACATATTAGAAGAGTCAAAGTAATTTAAGAAACATAAAAATGGGTTTCTATATGAATATTTAAACACTGCATTTTGCCCCATTGACTCTTCAAAGCATAAGTTTCTTGCTTGATAATTGCTCACTTTATGATATTGCACAGTAGGTTCCTGCAAGTGCTTCATACTAGATGCTTAAGCTGAGATTCCAGACCTTAATGCAGAACACATAGCCAAACCTGACTTCCATCACTCACAAACGTCTGTGATTAGTAACTGCACAGAAAATGCCACCCAACTGACAGGAGGTAAACATTCTGAGTAGGTATTATTGAGTAACATTGTTCAGGCTACTAGCTGAACCAGTCATTCCATTTTCACTTTTCTGAAGTGTTCTCACAGCACTTGGAACCTGCATTCCTGTACTCAAAGAAAGTCCACCACACCAAACCTAAGAAAAGACACAAACAAAGCCTCAGTCAGATTTCAAATAATATTGGAATTTCAGTGGTTCTTAAATTTCTATTTGAAGGACAAAATGCTACATATGTGAGTATCAACAAGTGTCAAACTGATAACCACATCAGAACTGAGAAAAATCAGAGATGCTAAATCAAGATTCTTGTAAAGCTACACAGGCCAAAGAAAGTTTTTCTGGTAGGAAAAGCCATTGAAACTACAGAGGGCACTTGGGCTGTAGAAATTTAGAGTCGAATTTGGGTAAACCTAGCAGGTGAAAGATATGGCCATCATGAGTGATGACTTTCAAAACCAAGGCAATTCTTCACAGAACCAACTTCCTTACCCTTAGTTATTGCTTTTAGTTTTGATGAGATACAGCCTTAGATTATAGCAACGTAACATTCTTCTATTAACACGGTAAAAACTGCACTCTTCTTGCTTATCCTGTAACAAGTAAGAACTTTTACAATGCTTTAGGAAGGATTTCCATGAAAAATGTACCAGATGCACTTGCCATGTTCTATTAATTATTACTAATATGAAGGAGTTTATGAAAGATAAAACTGCTTTGCTGTGAAACACAGCACCACGATAAGTAAACAAATTTAGACAGTCAAGTGATTTAAAAGTATGAAAATATTCCAGAAACAAGCTTAAAGCAAGGGAAATTATACAAGCATTCTCACTTTCAGTTATATACTGTGTTCAATATTTTAACTAGCAGGCTCAGTAATGATAAGCTCTCAGAATATAAAAGCAATTCAGGTTATAAAATTACTACCAGTAGGTTTATTTTTAGTAATAATAAGTAATTTAGAAAAATATTTGTTCAAAATATCTAGCATAAAAGTGTAAAAGCAAATAAAGGGAGAAAGTTTTTTAAGTAAATGGTACTAGAAGAATTAGATATCCATGTGCAGAATAAAAAAAAAATCAAAGCATACCATATACAAAATAATTAACTCAAAATAGACCATAGACTTAAAACATAAAACTATAAAACTTCAAGAGGAAATGAGAAAATATTTTTGTGATCTTGAATTAGTAGTACCATCCATAAATGTGGAAAAGTAGGTAAATTGGGCTTTATATCAAAATTAAAAACTTTACTCTGAAATATCTAGAAAGCAAAAAGACAAGTTATAACATCATGGAAAATATCCTCAAAACACATAATTATATTCAAAGCTTTAAAGAAACCTTAAAATTTGATAATAAGAAAATAACACCCTAAAAATAAGCAGAGGATTTTAACATACCTTACCAAAGAAATTATATAAATGGAAAATAAGCACAAGAATCAATGTGCCACATCATTTTTCATTATGAAAGTGCAAACAATAACAGTAAAAATACCATTACACAGCTTCTAAAATGGCTTTAGGACAACAAGAAAAATCTAGCAATACCAAATAATTGAAGGATGTAATGAACTCTCATATGGTGCTGGTAGCAATGCAAAAATGGCAGAACCACTTTGGAAAACATTTTGGTATCTTACAAAGCTAAACATCAATGTAACCCAACAACCCTACCCAAGGAAAATTAAACTTTATGTTTGGCCACAAAAAAACTCCTATGAATGTTTATCATGGTTTTATTCATAATTGCCCTAAACTAGAAAGAACTCAAATATTCTTCAAATGGTGATCAATGTATTAACTGTGGTATATACATATAAGGAACACTACTCAGCAGTAAAAAGAGAACACTGACACATACAACAAAACAGATGAATTTCAAAAGCACTATGCCACACAATCAAAAGGCCATCTACCACACCACTGATATGACATTCTGGAAAAGGCACAACTTCAATGACTAACAACTGTTTATTAAATTGTAGCACTGAATGTGATGGGAAGGTCCCAGTACAAAGGAGCAAAAACAAATTTTCTAGAGTGTTGGAAGTGTCGTATATCTCGAATGTAGTGATGGTTCTACTATTGTATGCATTTGTCAAAAATCCATGGGAAAGCACAATACTTAAAAATTAATCTTGTATATAAATTAACATTCATTTACTTAATAAAAGTAAACCTTCACTGAAAGAAAAGTTTGAAATAATTTCCTAAAGCATCTTATGACACTACTGTGTGATTACAGTTCATCATTTGGATCAAAACTATGAATAAACTCAGTATGTATCTACATGAGACTGATTCAAACTGAAATATGAAACTTTTATAAAAATACACCTAAGTGTTGGAAAAATACTTTCCTTACTTCCATATGGTGAATACTTAGTCTTTGATTGACCAATTTGGAAAAGCAGCCAAAAATACATAATACAGCAGAGATTTATAGTGAAGCTCAAAAAAAAGAGAAAGAAAGAAAAAAAAAAGAAAAAAGAAATGGCCCTTTCAGTATTTTAAAGTATTTTTCCTAAAGCAACAACTTTATTCACTAATCACTTTTATCTTTTTCAATGAAAAACTAGAAGTCTTGGTTATTAGCACTGTTTTAAGCTTAAGATTTTAGAGTACCTAGAATAAGAAATTATCACTGACTGTGACATTCAAAAGCACTCTATTTTAAACCAATATTTATCCTGAATACTTTCTCTTCATTCTGGGGGATTATACTTAGGAGTAATGATGAAAGAACACACATACAAAACAGTCCACAAAGTCTACCCTTGAAATATACCACCCTGGTTTATAGCAGTAACTCCCAAATTAAGGAAAGCTTCTAGCCAAAATAATGGTGATCTTACCTGGATTCCAAACTCCCAAAAGTAGCCTAGCTTTATAGAGACATGCAGAGGGTTAAGGCATAGGAACCAGAAATACGATTTGCTTTAAGAATTAATTTAGAATGATATTTCATTTTGTGTGGAGAAATGTGAATTTTTCTTCTATAAATCAGCCTGTAACTGAGTAGACCCAAAATTATGTGTGTACAGCCCCCAAATGAAAACCACCTACATATCCAACCAAATTAGAATGGATATACTGTGATATAGTCATAAAAAAGAAAACTATACAGCTATAGAATGAATAAACTATAATGACACAGGATATAGATAAATGTGGCAATGCTGAGCTAAAAAGATAGTGTCTAATTCCATCTATGTGAAGTTGAACAGGAGGCATAATGAATTTATGGTATTAAAACCCAAGATAGTGTTACCCTATGGAGAAAGGCCATTAAAGGCAAGGAGCTTCCTACGTTCTGGTAATGTCCATTTCTTGTTATAAGTGCTACCTTCAAAAGTAATGGAGTCCTGTGGAAATTCATCAAATCAAATGCTTATCATCTGTGTGCCTTTATGTATTATATTAACATGGAAACATAAAAAAATATATAGAAAATCACAAATTTTGGAAAGGGTGGACCAGGGAAAGAGAGAATGAATATGAATAAAAGTCTGCTTCTATAAACAATACAGCATAGAGTATTCTCCTTAAAGTTACCATGCCAAATAAAATACAAATTAGGTACTAACCATGAAACCAGGTAGTACTGGCTGAGTAAATTTTGTCTTAAAGGAATAGAGCAACTGTTTTGAGTTTGCATCATAGAAAGAAAGTTGACCTAAAAAGAAGGGGAAAAATAGCCTAATTTATTATACAAGCAATTGTAATGTCTAATTAATTCTCACACATAATCACGCAAAAATATAGAACATACTCTGAATTTTACTATCGTATCATCAAATCCGTTACTCTTGACTCCCCACTGCTCAAGTCCTTTGTACCAATCATTTGACACATGTTAAGACTTCCTATGTTGATAGCACTGCACAGGCAATAACAATCTAGTAGTTATAAAACAAAGACATGCTCCTGCCTTATACTTCTTAAAGATTGAGCATTAAAAGTCTTATGTTATCTATGCTTTCAATCTCTTCCATTTTAACCATGTACTCTCTAGTATTTCTAATACTAGATTATCATTACTGATGAGTTTTCTAAAATGTACAGAACCACTCCTCTGCAAAATTAAAGAGTAGCCTATTATTTTTCAAGGCTTTCAGAATCAGATTAATTCTACATTACTGCTTTTCCCTGCTGTATTCTATACCCTAAGCCAGTGATGGTGAACTTTTTAGAGCTTTCAGTGGTAAACAGCTAGCTGTGGCACACATGCCATTGGTTCATATTACTTCTATTACTTCTGTGGAATCACAGAATAAGGAAAAGAAGAGAGAAAAATAAGCAAATTCTACCTTGGTAGTCATAACAGAAAAAGTGCCCCAATAAATCTGTCATTTATTCTGAGGAAAATGGTTTATATGATTCAAAGTAATTAGTAAAATAGAATGTAGCAAAATTAACATGTCAACACTAAAATGAAATTAAGCCAAAATTAATTTTTTTCCTCTTTTCTTTTTCAGTGATTAAATTGACAGTCCATGAAATTATGGGCCCAGAGATACTTGAAGTGATGAAATGTGGTATTATTATCTTAAAGTTCAATATTTTCATGATTATAATTAGTTCCATATAATTATAATTAAGGTTATCTAATAACCTTAGAGAAGGTATTTATCAAATACAAAAATATCTTAAGAAACTTTTAAAAAGATAAATTTTCAAGTTGATTTTCAGACGATTTCAAAAGGAAAAGTTTAGCCAAAATCTCTTTAAGTTAAAATGAAAAAAAAGGATAAATGTTAACATTCTTCTCTTGAATTATAAACAGTAAGTATCAACCCCTAAATTTCCTAATCTAAGACAGTAAATTCAATCTTACAATTCTGTGAAAAAAGATCTAGTGGATTAGGATCAATACAGGTCAACGGATCTTTAACAATGCTATTAACTGATATTACTAGAAGCAGTATTCCCAAATCACTCTTCTATTCTGGTCACTGTAACAATCAGCCTTTAAGAAATACAATGCACACTGTATACAACCATAGAAGATTATAAGGGTTTGGAAAAATTAAGTTGTAAAAGGAAGAGCTAGTAACAAAGAATGTAGAGTTTGAAAAAATGGCCCCAAAAAGTAGTTTGTCATTTTTAACAAACAAAAATTACCATATAAATAAGAAATAGGAGACACAAATCTTTTTTTTCAAGTGGCAAAATTTAAGTCTCAGCAGTCATAGAGATAAAGTAAATTCATTTTAGAAAAACCTAACCTTGCTCAACAACCAGGCTTCTAATTGTCTTAGACAATAAACTCCATATTAAAAAGTTCAGGGCCAGGGATTTAGCTTAGGGGCACCACACCTGCCTTACAAAAACAAAGTCTTGAGTTCAAACCCTGGTATCAAAAAAAAAAAAAAAAAAAAAAAAAAAAATTCAGCCCATGAGTGGTAACTCCCTGAAGAGATACAGTTTAATAAGGACTTCATAGGGCCGGGGATTTAGCTCAGTGGCATTGTGCCAGCTTCACAAATACAAGGTCATGAGTTCAATCCCTGGTACAAAAAAACCCACCAAATAAATAAATAAAGTTTTTTTAAAAATAAGGATTTTATATTGTGTGGCAGATCGATTGAGTAATTTCTAATGTCTACTCCTACTTAAAAAAACCTGACTCCACTACCCTATACAAGTACACAATAAAACAGTAAGGAAAGAAAACAGAAGAAAGTTTAATGCTTAAGACTATAATTGGCAAAATCTTTGAGGTTTAGTAAATTCATTTAACAATTATATACATACATAGATACACACACACACACACACACATTATATAGAACTTTTATACAACTCTAGACATACATCATATGCCTTTCTGGTGGATTTTTAGAACTGAGGTTACACTGATGAAGAAAGCCTAGCTGGCCAAAATGTCCTTACTGTAGTATTAATAGAAATTCTGTATAAAGGATTGCCAAGGAGAAATACTGAAATACAAGCAACCATAATAAAATAACTTATGAAAAAAAAACTTACCCCCATCAAAATCACAAAATACACCTATTTTGTCAGGAACAGTAACATCCAAAGCTTTGACTTTATTATTATGTTTTGCTGCAAATGTGTTTTGTAGCCAGTTGTTGACATGAATGCACCAACTAGTGTTTGTCTTTCCTAATTGGTCAAACTTCCCCAAAGTTTTGTATGCCACTCCTACACTGTAGGATTTACAGTCTTTTTGGGCCTTGACTTCCCAGTAATGTTGTCCACTTTCAATAGCAGTATCTCCTACAAAAGATCAGAAAGGAAGACTTCACTCATTTCTTCCTTATGAGTCACATAGATTTTTACCTATCACTTTTCCCATAAACGACACAAAATTTTTAATTCAACTGCTATTGCTATGAAACTAATCATGCTGGCAACATAGATACTAAATGCAGAGTACTTACCAAACTTTACTTATACATTTTTTTGCTGTATATAAAATGCTTCATAACTTTTCTTTCTTAATATCACTAAATAAACTGGAGTTTTAAAAGTTTCAATAAGTCAGTTTGAAAAGGCCCCCCAATTAGGCTTTAACAGGAAAAATTTCTATGAAGATTCACTGACTATATAGGTAGATACTCTAGCTCTAAGCAAGTAGAATGCCATTTTGATATGATGCTTTTAATCTGATCTCATGAAGAACTATTACATTTTATCCTACCAAGTACTGTATATGATTCCCCAGTAAAGCGGTCTCTGCTGCCTCTTACTGGTGGTGGCCTGGAGCTTACAGATGTCCGTTTGGGGGATGGCGTACCACTTCTACATAAAAAAGAATAAAAAGAAAAACAAGTACTTTATTCTGGAAATGTCTCATAAACAAAAATTACAAGTCTTTGAAAAAATTTCTAGTATCACAAAACAGCATCATTTAATTTGTCCTGAATTATTAACAGAGAGTTGTCAATTTAACACTCAAATTTAAGAAGCCATCAATACAAAGCAGGCTGAAAACACTAATGTTATGGACACTGAGCAAGGCTTATACAAAGAACACAAAGTTGAAATTAAAAAAACAATGACAAAATGAAGGAAAAAAATCAAGAAAGACATTGGATTCCAGCTTATATTTTTTGCAATTAAATTTTTTAAAAAAGCAAAATTAGGCTGCTTCTTACACTCACAACTAAAAAACTTTTAAAGCTTAGCAGTAGGTGTTTTTGTTCTGTACCTTTTATTCTTAAAAAGAGAAATAGGAATTGCCCAAATCAGTGTATAGGATACTATTAAGTATTATAAACCATTTCCAGTATTAAAACGAAAAGATCCAATCTGATCTCATATCGAATTATGATACGATAAACTGGATTGAGTTAGGCAACACCAAATATTAAAAACTTAGAGTATGTCGCGACCCAAAGATTTTTAAATAACATTTTAATTATGTTGATTCACTGCATCTAAAACACAAAAAATTACACAAAAAATTGGGGGGTGGGTAAGAATATCCTAGTGCTAATTAAGAAAAATAGAAATACTATATATATTACCACTAATTAGAAATAAAAACCATTTTACAATATTAATATACTAGAATTTTTTTCCTACAAACAGATGAACTGAATAGATTTTAACAAGCTGTCAACTCATATTGAAATAAAATTCCCTGACAAAGGTAAAACAAAAATTAAAATATAAAGTTTCATATGATTCATCTGTATTATTTAAATGTCTTACTGTCAGAAGGCAGATTTATCAGTGTCAAAGAATTAAATTGTGAACTCAAGACCACTTCCTCTACTTTTTAATATATTAGGCAGCACAATTATAACTCAACAACTCTAATATGCATATGATCTAGTTTAATTCTTCCCAAAGGATGAAAAGTTATTTTTGTAAAGACACATCTTTAAAAAGGTATTTGAGTGACTGACTATGCATCCTATTTTAACAGACAGCATGAACAGAGATGAGTAAGGATAGAGAGATTAAAGTTTCTGTAAAACTTCCGCCACCTGCCTCACAAGCACAAGGGCCCGAGTTTGATCCCTGGTACCCTCCACCAAAAAAAAATCACTATTCTAAAACTTCTGTAAAGTTTGTTCTGAGATTGACAAAGGTTTCTTCCCATTGGGGAGGGGGAGAACAAAATAAAATCTGATTGGGGAGGGCAGGAATAAGCATAAATAAATTCAAATGAAAAATTGTAACACTCTCTCTTTCTATATATATATATAATTTTTAAAAAACTTTTCCAAGATTTGGTTTGACTAGCTTTCTAAGTCAATACTTTTACAATACTCTTAAGAGTCATTAATAGTAATAAAGTAAAATTCTGTAAACTTACAAGAAAGGACTATATCACAATTTTCTTTTTAATTCTTTTCATATAAGCTTTTAAAGAATATTAAAAATCTGATTACCAAAAGTCTGTACATTTTCAAGTATTTTATCTTAAACTAGGGGAAAAGATAATACTGTATTTTTCTCAAAATTAAAAAACAGTAAATGTAGCTCTGTTTTCATTATCCTGTGGGAGAGGGCAAAGTGTCTTGAAACTGGTGATTTTCAAACCACGTCCTGACCTCAAAGGAATCCACAGATGACACAGAGGCTGCTGCAGGACTCTGAAAAGAAGCCACTGCCAGAGTTCCTTCCTACTTAAACCAGCTACCTTGCGTTCTCTCTCTCTTTTTTTTAATTATTATTATTATTTTTTTTGGTACAGTGATTGAACTTAGGGCCTTGTGCTTGCGAGGCAGGCAGTGGAACCACTGAGCTAAACCCCTGGCCCTACCTCTCTTTTTTAAACTGGGTTTCTGGAAACGTTTCATCTGACAAATGCTTTCTGTTGCTAATTTTTAAAGAACAAGGGTAAAGCCTGGGCTACATAGTGAGTTCCAAGTCAGTCTCAACTATGTATTGACTCCCTGTCTCAAAAAAAAACCAAGGTTAAGAAGTACTGTTTGGGATATAAAATTAGGAAACATATGAAAAGGAGGGCTTTTGTCTTAATGTGACTTATAAACCGAAGTTTATACTTTTATTCTCTAAACATTCTTTTTTTTTGAAATAAAATTTCCTCTGGAAAAATTGAGTGGGCATTTGGAATAGCTAACCAAAATAAAGTCATCAAAATATATTAATCTTCCTCCTAAGTTAGCTCAACCTCAATTTTTTTTTTTTTTTTTTT